CAGCGACCCCTCACTTAGTCTAGGGGTTTGGGGTTTAGGGCGGTGTCTGTGGAGAGCCGTAGGGGTCTAGAGTATTCTACAACACCCCAAACAGATTTTGCCAGCCCCATTGTTTGCTTTAGGGTCCTATCTTGCTGCAGAGCTCCCCAACACGTGAGCTCTAAACCCTGAAGCTTGCACCTTCAACCCTGAGCGCGTAAAACTGCACCTTCACAAGGCCCATGTACACCTGCTTGGCGGGTCACGGGCCACTGAGTAAATGGGTAAATGATGGGGTAATTTATTGCTATAAGATGTTATAAGCGTACTGTATACTTACTATTACGGAATCCGACCTGAAGCCCAAACTCCCCAATTCAAAAAACATTCATCCTTTCCAAATCCTTCCTAATTTGTGAAGCGCTCCTCAGGACCAGGAGGGCGATCGCTACGAAGTGCTGAATCGCAAGGGCGTCATCTTCTCGCTGAAGGACCGCTTTTCTTAGGCCAGGGTATAGGCTTTAGGCATTGTTAGGGGTCAAAATATTTAAATGCCGAGTAGTTTTGGGCAGTTGGACTTTTAGGGTCACCTGTAGGGTGTTGTTTAGTTTACGCGATGATTTTGGAGCACTCGGGCTCTAGTGTTTTGAGAATCAACGGGTCCCAAATCCAAAGCCCCAAACATCTCAATTCTGGATCCAAATCAAGCGCTGATTCGCATGGAACTTCCTCAGCCCGAAACCGAAAACCTTAAACTCTACAACCCTGAGCCCTAAACCTCAGACCTTATTTGCATGCCCCAAATACCCACCCACAAAGAGGAGTTACATACATAGACTCCAATTAAGGGTAGCCGGGGGTTCCTGGTAGGCTTTAAGGCTTTAGCCCCAAATCTTTTTCCATGACCCGAAGCCAGGAACAGCGCCTCGTCAGCCGAGACGGCCGACGATGTCTTGTCTCATCAGACTTCCCACTGCTGGTGAACATCAAGGCTTTGTCTGAGGGGGGAAATATTTGTGGATTCGTTCGCAACAGTTTTTGGGAGCTTGGATTTCGGATTTGGGGTTCAGGATTTAAGGTTGGGTGGTTGAGATTTTGAGCTGGGAGCTTTTTGAATCAGGGGTGTTCAGTTCCCCATATTCGGAGATTGCGAATGGATTCGAGGGATAACTGTTTCGGATATCATATTGGTAGGAATACCCTAAACCCTACTCCCATGTCAGGTCCTATCAGGTAGGAAGATCTTTTTCTTTTTTGTGCTTGCTTGGGCATGGAGGACTGGAAGGGAGGATGGAGACTACTCCGACTGCGGGTTTCAGGTTTAAAGCTTGGTTGGGAAGGGGGGCATGGGTTGGTGATCTGGCAGTGCTTAAGGTGTTCAGGCTATGATTGGGGATAAGGGTTAAAGGAGTTTAGAGGTTTGCGGATGTAGGCTATGGGGTTGACAGGGATGTTCCGTCCGTTCGAAGAAAAGAGGGGCTTCATTGCCATATACACGGATTGTGCCAGAGGTTGTTAGGAAGAGGCATTGCGCCATTTTAGTGCTTTGTCTTTCCCTTCCTACCTCAAGATCCCAAACCTCCCAGGAAGGCGTTTCGCAGTTAAATAAGACCTTAAACGGTAAATTCTTGGGCCAGGGCACTAAGCCGCTCGATCCCTTCAGACCTAAACACCGTGAGCCCTTCAACAGCAAGCAATATGCTATTTTCTAGGACAGCTCCATGCAGTTATCTGGAACCCAAAAGAATTTAACATATTGGCTTTTGTTGAAACAACTATTCCCTATGGATTTCGTTTTTTTTCCTATCGTTTGAGTTCCAAGTATGGTTGTGATGCTGCGTCCCCCAACCTCAAACCCCAAACTCCAGACTCCCAAATGGCTTGCAAAGCCTGTGCAAGATAGCAAAACTTTGCATACTGCCCCCACCCTGTAACAGTCTATATTAGGGCTCTTATTAAAGGCTGTATATAACCATATGATAAGTCTTCTCCAACTGTTACAGAGTGGGGGCAGTACCCAAGCAAAACTCATAGAGCTGCACAGGCAAGAGTTC